TTGAGGTACAGTTGATGCGTACCTGAAGTAGACAAAGCCTGTCGAATGTTTTGATGGTAATACACATCACTTACATCAGAGTTGGGTGTATGTAGATTGAGTAGGTATGCACTTGAGGTACAGTTGATTTGTATCTCAAGTAGACAAAGCTTTTAAAAGTCTTGATGGTAAAACACATCAATATTCATCAAGGTGAGGTGTATGTAAGTTGCATTGGTCTGTACCTGAGGTTTAGTTGATGTGTACCTCAAGTAGACAAAGCTTTCGAAAGTTTTGATAGTAATACACATCAAAATTCATCAAAATGAGGTGCATGTAGAATGAATTGCTCTGTATTTGAGGTACAGTTGATGTGTACCTCAGGTAGACAAAGTCTGTCGAAAGTTCTGATGGTTATACACATCAATATTCATCAGAGTTGGGTGTATGTAAGCTGCATTTGTCTGTACTTGAGGTACAGTTGATGCGTACCTGGAGTAGACAAAGCCTGTCGAATGTTTTGATGGTAATACACATCACTTTCATCAAAGTTGGGTGTATGTAGATTGAATAGGTATGCACTTGAGGTACAGTTGATTTGTACTTCAAATAGACAAAGCTTTTGAAAGCTTTGATGGTAAAACAATCAATATTCATCAAAGTGAGGTGTATGTAAATTGAATCGGTCTGTATTTGAGGTACAGTTGATGCGTACCTCAGGTAGACAAAGCCTGTCGAAAGTGTTTATGGTAATACATATCAATAGTCATCAAGGTGAGTTGTATGCAAGTTGCATTGGTCTGTACCTGAGGTGCAGTTGATGTGTACCTGAAGTAGATAGAGCCTTCTAAAGTTTGGATGAAAATATACATTAATATTCATCAGAGTTGGGTGTATGTAAATTGCATTGGCCTGTACTTGAGGTACAGTTGATTTGTACTTCAAGCAGACAAAGCTTTCGAAAGTTTTGCTGGTAATACACATCAATATTCATCAAAGTGAGGTGTATGTAGATTGAATTGGTCTGTATTTGAGGTAAAGTTGATGTGTACCTCAGGTAGACAAAGCCTTTCGAAAGTTTTGATGGTAATACACATCAATATTCATCAAAGTGAGGTGTATGTAGATTGAATTGGTCTGTATTTGAGGTAAAGTTGATGTGTACCTCAGGTAGACAAAGCCTTTCGAAAGTTTTGATGGTAATACACATCAATAATCATCAGAGTTGTATATATGTGGATTGAATTGGTCTGTATTTGAGGTACAGTTGATGTGTAATACACATCAATATTAATCAGAGTTGGGTTTATGTAAGCTGCATTGGTCTGTACTTGAGGTACAGTTGATGCGTAGCTGAAGTAGACAAAGACTGTCGAATGTTTTGATGGTAATGCACATCACTTACATCAGAGTTGGGTGTATGTAGATTGAGTAGGTATGCACTTGAGGTACAGTTGATTTGTACTTCAAGTAGACAAAAAGCTTTCGAAAGTTTTGATGGTAAAACACATCAAGATTCATCAAAGTGAGGTGTATGTAAGTTGCATTGGTCTGTATTTGAGGTACAATTGATGTGTACTTCAGGTAGACAAAGCCTATCGAACGCTTGGATGGTAATACACATCAATATTCATCAATGTTGTGTGTATGTAAGTTGCATTGGTCTGTACTTAAGGTACATTTGATGCGTACTTCAAGCAGACAAAGCCTGTCAATTGTTTTGATGGTAAAACACATCAATATTCATCAAAGTGAGGTTTATGTAAATTGAATTGGTCTGCATTTGTGGTACAGTTGATGTGTACCTCAGGTAGACAAAGCCTGTCGAAAGTTTTGATGGTAATACACATCAATAGTCATCAGAGTTGGGTGTATGTAACTTGCATTGGTCTTTACTTGAAGTACAGTTGATGCGTGCCTGAAGTAGACAAAGCCTGTTGAATGTTTTGATGGTAATACACATCAATGTTCATCAAAGTGAGGTGTATGTAAGTTGCATATGTCTGTACCTGAGGTACAGTTGATGTGTACTTCAAGTAGACAAAGCTTTCGAAAGTTTTGATGGTAGTACACATCAAAAATAATCAAGCTGAGGTGTATGTAGGTTATATTGGTCTGTATTAGAGGTACAGTTGATGTGTACCTCAGGTAGACAATGCCTGTCGAAAATTTTGATGAAAATATACATCAATAGTCATCAAAGTGAGGTGTACGTAAGTTTCATTGGTCTGTACTTGAGGTACAGTTTATGCGTACCTCAGGTAGACAAAGCCTGTCAAAATATTTGATGGAAATACACATCAACATTCATCAAAGTGAGGTGTGTGTAAGTTGCATTTGTCTGCACTTGAGGTACAGATGATGTCGTAAGTTTGGTGGTAACAAACATCAGTATTCATCAAAGGGAGGTGTATGTAGATGGAATTGGTCTGTACGTGAGGTACAGTTGATTTGTACCACCAGTAGACAAAGCCTGTTGAACGTTTGGACGGTAATACACATCACTATACATCAAAGTTGGTTGTAATTACATGGAATAGGTCTGCCCTTGAGGTACAGTTGATTTGTTCTTCAAGCAGACAAAGCTTTTGAAAGTTTTGATGGTAATACACATCAATATTCATCAAAGTGAGGTGTATGTAGATTGAATTGGTCTGTATTTGAGGTACAGTTGATATGTACCTCAGGTAGACAAAGCCTGTCGAATGTTTTGATTGTTATACACATCAATATTCATCAGAGTTGGGTGTATGTAAGTTGCATTGGTCTGTACTTGAGGTACAGTTGATGCGTACCTGAAGTAGACTTAGCCTGTTAAAAGTTTTGATGAGAATCTCATCAATACTCATGAGAGTTGGGTGTATCTTAATTGCATTGATCTGCACTTGAGGTACAGTTGATGCGTACCTGTAGACAAAGCCTGTTGAATGTTTTGATGGTAATACACATCAATATTCATCAAAAGGAGGTGTATGTAGGTTATTTTGGTCTGTATCAGAGGTACAATTGATGTGTACCTCAGGTAGACAAAGCCTGTCGAAATTGTTGATGGTAATACACATCAATAGTCATCAAAGTGAGATGTTTGTAAGTTGCATTGGTCTGTACTTGAAGTGCAGTTGATGTGTACCTCAGGTAGACAAAGCCTACCGAAAGTTTTGATGGTAATACACATCAATATTCATCAGAGTTGGGTGTATGTAAGTTGCATTGGTCTGTACTTGAGGTACATTTGATGCGTACCTGAAGTAGACAAAGCCTGCTGAATATTTTGATGGCAATACACATCACTAACATCAGAATTGGATGTATGTAGATTGAGTAGGTCTGTACTTGAGGTACAGTTGATTTGTACTTCAAGCAGACAAAGCTTTCGAAAGTTTTGATGGTAATACACATCAATATACAACAGTGTGAGGTGCATGTAGGTTATATCTATCTTTATTGGAGGTACAGTTGATGTGAACCTCAGATATACAAAGCCTTTCGAAAGTGTTGATGGTAATTCATATCAATATTCATCAGAGTTGGATGTATGTAGATTGAATTGCTCTGTATTTGAGGTACAGTTGATGTGTACCTCAGGTAGACAAAGCTTTCGAAAGTTTTGATGGTAATACACATCAATATTCATCAGAGTTGGGTTTATGTAAGCTGCATTGGTCTGTACTTGAGGTACAGTTGATGCGTAGCTGAAGTAGACAAAGCCTGTCGAATGTTTTGATGGTAATGCACATCACTTACATCAGAGTTGGGTGTATGTAGATTGAGTAGGTATGCACTTGAGGTACAGTTGATTTGTACTTCAAGTAGACAAAAAGCTTTCGAAAGTTTTGATGGTAAAACACATCAATATTCATCAAAGTGAGGTGTATGTAAGTTGCATTGGTCTGTATTTGAGGTACAATTGATGTGTACTTCAGGTAGACAAAGCCTGTCGAACGCTTGGATGGTAATACACATCAATATTCATCAATGTTGTGTGTATGTAAGTTGCATTGGTCTGTACTTAAGGTACATTTGATGCGTACTTCAAGCAGACAAAGCCTGTCAATTGTTTTGATGGTAAAACACATCAATATTCATCAAAGTGAGGTTTATGTAAATTGAATTGGTCTGCATTTGAGGTACAGTTGATGTGTACCTCAGGTAGACAAAGCCTGTCGAAAGTTTTGATGGTAATACACATCAATAGTCATCAGAGTTGGGTGTATGTAACTTGCATTGGTCTGTACTTGAAGTACAGTTGATGCGTGCCTGAAGTAGACAAAGCCTGTTGAATGTTTTGATGGTAATACACATCAATGTTCATCAAAGTGAGGTGTATGTAAGTTGCATATGTCTGTACCTGAGGTACAGTTGATGTGTACTTCAAGTAGACAAAGCTTTCAAAAGTTTTGATGGTAATACACATCAATAATAATCAAACTGAGGTGTATGTAGGTTATATTGGTCTGTACTTGAGGTTAAGTTTATGCGTACCTCAGGTAGACAAAGCCTGTCAAAATTTTTGATGGAAATACACATCAACATTCATCAAAGTGAGGTGTATGTAAGTTGCATTTGTCTGCACTTGAGGTACAGATGATGTCGTAAGTTTGGTGGTAATACACATCAGTATTCATCAAAGGGAGGTGTATGTAGATGGAATTGGTCTGTACGTGAGGTACAGTTGATTTGTACCACCAGTAGACAAAGCTTGTTGAACGTTTGGACGGTAATACACATCACTATACATCAAAGTTGGTTGTAATTACATTGAATAGGTCTGCCCTTGAGGTACAGTTGATTTGTACTTCAAGCAGACAAAGCTTTTGAAAGTTTTGATGGTAATACACATCAATATTCATCAAAGTGAGGTGTATGTAGATTGAATTGGTCTGTATTTGAGGTACAGTTGATATGTACCTCAGGTAGACAAAAACCATGAAATTTTCGGAACTGAACACAAAAGACATCCATATAATGTTTTGGACATTGATGATATTGAAAACATTGAATCTTCTTCAGCCTTTGAAATGATGGCAGTAGAATACAAAAGTAGATGGCATCATGATGTTGGTATATGGAATATACAGCCTCCTGATATAAATGATAAGCTAGACATTAGATTATTCCAGAAGTAATTTATATGTATTATATATATATATATTGTTTAAAACAAACATGACACAAGGTCCCAAAGTTCCAGTAACAGAAAAGTTTATATGTTTCATTCTTTCATCTCAGTACACGTATTATTCTTATAATTACTTTTGGGAGTCTAAAGCAAATTTTCTAAGTTGGTGCCAAAAGAATCCCTGGACAGTTATATATATTCTAACACCTCAATCCAACTTGCATTTTGCACTATAACAGCAACATTCTGTTCACCTTAAGGGAATCCGGGTCCGTTCGCCAAAAAACATGTTCGACCCCTTTCACTTTCGCACCCTACACATTCAAACCCAAAGTCCGTTCGCACCCTTTTTATTGGTTTTGTGTTTAATTATTTTGTAATTGAGTTTTGGTAAGTGTATTGCTGTAAATATTTTTTTTCATTGTTTCAAAATAAAGTGAGATTCGGACATCATTTTTTTGTGTTGAATAAATCTTAATCATGGTTTGGTTTACTTAGTGTATTGCTATAAAAAAAAATCATTTTTTCTAAATAAAGTGAGATTCTGACATCGTTTGTTTTTATTTTGTGTTGAATAAATCTTAATCATCTTTTGGTTAGTGTATTGCTATAAATTTATGTTTTCATTGTTTCAAAATAAAGTTAGATTCTGACGGTTTTTTTTTTTTGTGCTGAATAAATCTTAAATTATGTTTTGGTTAGTGCAGTGATATAAAAAAAATTTTCATTGTTTCAAAATAAAGTGAGATCAAAGGGGCCAATTATCTTTCGTGCTTTCCTTTTAAAATCTTCAATGTTTTACTCATACCAAGCTAAATACATGCAGTATTTAAAAGCAAGTTATAACAACAATCATGATTTTCAAACACACAACAATAATACCAAATTTAGCTGTGTATAAATACCAATTAGCAGTAATCATACATTTGTACATACAATGTACATGTAATTAACATTTAATAATTAATCATCAAATTGATAAAAAAAAAAACCCAAAAAACATTCATATAATAATTCCCCAATTTATATACAGGAAAATATATTTTTTTTGGTATATACATATAAAAAAATATCTAATAATTCAACTTGAATTTGAATAAAAATTGGGTGCGAATGTGTAGGGTGCGAACGGACCTAGGGGGCGAACGGACCTGATACCACCTTTAGGTAGTAAGCACGTTTTCCAGAGTCCCATTTTCTTTTCAGAATCAATAATTCATACTACTATTTGGGAATCTTTGACAGTTTGATACTTGATCCTAGATTTTGCAACACTTGAACTATTGGTGTTATACAATCAATTTTCTTTTGTGGAGTCTAACATTTTCTCTTGATGTCAAAATTTTGCAGAAATGGCTGATACATTTTTTTTGTGTAGATCAAAATTGTAAAATGACTTTTTTGTCCTACATGTGCATGATGTGTACAGCCTAAATACAACAAATGTATGGTGTACCTCAGCTTAAATCTGAAGTCTGGCTCCTCTCTGTCAACAGTTTGTCAGCTAAATAATACCCAGTAAAGATATACATACATGTATATAATAAATGTAAAACTTTTCTTCTTAAATTGTCAAAATATCATGAATGTATAGGGAAACTCCCCCTTAAGTCAGTGGCTTTTTAGTGGGGAGTTTTCCTATAGTAAATCAAGAGAATTATTTCAAAGATAGGAAAACAATTCGTTAAGACTTCTAGATTTTTGTCTCGCCTTGACAGAGTCAAAAAGCGAGACATAGGTATGCTGTTTCCGGCGGCGGCATCAACAATGTATTAGTTTGTGATTAGGTCTAGTTCATAATGAACCACTAGTGGTAGGTCAATGATATTTGGTATGCAGTTGTATTAGCATTGGCACATCTCATTACCATGGAGATTATTTGGCCCTGCTCCCTCAGTCAAGGTCTATTGACTTTGAAACTTTAAAATTGAGAATGGAAATGGGGAATGTGTCAAAGAGACAACAACCCGACCATAGAACAGACAACAGCAGAAGGTCACCAACAGGTCTTCAATGCAGCGAGAAATTCCCGCACCCGGAGGCGTCCTTCAGCTGGCCCCTAAACAAATATATATACTAGTTCAGTGATAATGAACGCCATACTAAACTCCAAATTGTACACAAGAAACTAAAATTAAAAATAATACAAGACTAACAAAGGCTAGAGGCTCCTGACTTGGGACAGGCGCAAAAATGCGGCGGGGTTAAACATGTTTATGAGATCTCAACCCTCCCCCTATACCTCTAGCCAATGTAGAAAAGTAAACGCATAACAATACGCACATTAAAATTCAGTTCAAGAGAAGTCCGAGTCTGATGTCAGAAGATGTAACCAAAGAAAATAAACAAAATGACAATAATACATAAATAACAACAGACTACTAGCAGTTAACTGACATGCCAGCTCCAGACTTCAATTAAACTGATTGAAAGATTATGTCTTCATCATATGAATATCAGGCACAATCCTTCCCGTTAGGGGTTTAGTATCATACCATCATAACATATATGAGAAGAACATAACCCGTGTCATGCCAACAACTGGTTTTTAAATAAATGTGTTTAGTGCCGATGCAAAGACCCTATAAGTGAATCAATATTAACGCCAAAATATGCAATCTTTAATGACCTGACAACAGTATCGTAACTATATCCCTTCTTGATAAGTCTATTTAAAGGTTTTGTTAGTTTCAGAGGTGAATACTGATATTTTTGTGCTTTATAAAGAATATTTCCATAAAAAATTGGATGTGAAATACCTGAACGTATAAGAAGTCTGCATGTTGAGCTATATTTACGAATGATGTCCTTATACCGATGATAAAATTTAGTAAATGTTTTGACTAGTTTGTGATATCGAAAACCCTGGTGTAATAATTTTTCAGTAATACATAAATTTCTCTCGTTAAAATCTAAAACATTGTTACATACACGAGCGAATCGTACAAGTTGAGATATATAAACACCGTAAGATGGTGACAAGGGAACGTCACCATCTAAAAATGGATAATTAACGATAGGAAATGAAAAATCATCTCTTTTATCATATATTTTAGTATTAAGCTTTCCGTTAATGATATAGATATCAAGATCGAGGAAAGGGCAGTGGTCATTGTTAGTATTAGCTTTATTTAAAGTAAGTTCAACAGGATAAATTTCTTTAGTATACATACTGAAGTCGTCATTATTGAGAGCCAAAATATCATCCAAATATCTAAAAGTATTATTAAATTTGTGTATCAGATGTTGTTTCGATGGGTCTTTACTGATTTTTGTCATAAATTGTAACTCATAGCAATACAAAAAAAGGTCCGCAATAAGTGGTGCACAGTTAGTCCCCATTGGAATTCCGATAACCTGACGATATACGGAATCTCCAAAGCGAACAAAAATGTTATCTAGTAAAACTTCAAGGGCATATATAGTATCAAAGCATGTCCAATTGACATAGTTTTTTTGTTTATTGCTACTAAAAAATGACCTAAAAGAGTTTGAACATATATATTCACATTCTGACTTTTTAAATACCCATTTAATTAGGTGTGTGAATTTTTTCTTAATGAGAATGTGAGGCAATGTGGTATATAGGGTAGAAAAATCAAAACTTTGAACAGATTCAAAATCACCAATATATGCATGCAATTTATCAAGTACTTCCAACGAGTTCTTGACACTCCAAAAGTAATTAATTCCACTATTTTCGAAGGCCTTATTTGAACAATTTATTATCAGGTTTTTGATTGTACCAAGTGTACTGGTAAGAAGAATAGACAATTTAGTAGTGGAACAATGGCTTGAAGACGAAATGAATCTATATTTGTAAGGTATTTTGTGTAGCTTCGGAAGCCAATACATAGTTGGGACTTTCATTGTATTTGGTTCTGCTTGTAAAGCGGTAGCTAAAAGTTTATGTTTGTTACAGATGTCGTTTTCTGAAAATGGAGTCAGTTGGAATGTTGGTGAATTGGTGATTTCTTTTTTCAGAACCTCAATGTAAAATTTACGTCAAACAATAATAATATTATTAGCAGCTTTATCGGCCGGGACAAAAACAAATTCCTTGGCTAGTTCTTTTAGTTTATGTTTGATACGAGAAATAGGTTTATTGTGGTTATTGTTAAGAGTAAAATGTTCGCTTAGTTTACATGTATTAGTTTGTGATAAGGTCAGTTTATGGGGAACCACTAGTGGTAGGTCAATGATATGTGGCATGCAGTTGTATTAACATTGGAACATCTCATTACCATGGAGATTATTTAGCCCTGCCCCCTCAGTCAAGGTCTATTGACTTTGAAACTTTGCTTACATGTAATTTACATGTATTAGTTTGTGATTAGGTCAGTTTATGGGGAACCACTAGTGGTAGGTCAATGATATTTGGTATGCAGTTGTATAAGCATTAGCATATCTCATTTCCATGGAGATTATTTGGCCCACCGCCTCATTCATGGTCTATTGACTTTGAAACTTTTGCTTAGTTTTCATGTATTAGTTTGTGATTAGGTCAGTTTAAGGGTAACTGTTAGTGGTAGGTCAATGATAATTGGTATGCAGTTGTATAAGCATTAGCACATCTCATTTCCATGGAGAATATTTGGTCCTTACCCCTCAGTCATGGTCTATTGACTTTGAAACTTTTGCTTGGTTTACATGTATTGGTTTGTGATTAGGTCAGTTCAAGATGAACCACTAATGTTAAGTCAATGATATTCGGTAAGTTTCATTTCCATGGAGATTATATAACCCCACCCCCTAATTATGGTTCATTGACTTTGAAACTTTTACATAGTTTACAAGTTAATGTTTGTGTTTAGGTTTGTTTAAAGGGAACGACTTATGAAAAGTCAATGGTATTTGATTTGCAGTTGTATTAGCATTGGCACATCTCATTTCCATGGTGATTGTTTAGCCCTGTACCTACAGTCATGGTTCATTGACTTTGAATATTTGCATAACTTACATGTTAAAGTATTGCTATTTTAATTTTAACATTTGCATTATCAAAATAACATATAGGCGAGACATATCTCTGTGTTAACAGTTTATGATTATACATTGTGTGTATGCGTAGTACAATGAACAATGATGAATAGATAAAAAGCAACTACATGTATGTACTTATACATGCAGCTATATTTTGATATATATATATATGTGTGTAAATGTACTACAATGTAGGTGAAGAGAAAAAAAAAATCACAATAAATTGTTAGAAATCTGGTAGAAAATAAAGTAACAAGATAAAATCACCATTTTGGCTTAGAAAATAGCAAGAATCTTGTGTCCGTTCTTTAAAAAGTACATGAAATCATAAATTTTCTCCTAATAAAATCAAAACGTACATGTAGATAACATAGGGTAGGTGTTTACGACCAATATTTATTCCTGACAAAAATGCATGCATTTGCACCACAGGTCTATTTTGTCAAAAAATGCTTTTGTGCCACTACATTTTGAAAATTAAATGTTTTATTTGGGCCATTTAAAACTGGCATACAACTGCACCAATTTGACAACTTATTAGGTTTTTGTCAAGCCTGCGACATTTATCATGTTTTTGAACATTGCGAAAACAAGACCATGAAGACATAGTGTTCCTATTCCTAGATTCCGTCATTTAGGTTAGTTACATATGTAGGTTCAGTCTGTGGTTAAAGTTTTACTATAGACATCAATAACTTTGTCAAACTTTCATGGAATTTTATGAAATTAGGACAGAAGCTTGTATATGACCAACATGACCAAAATACAGTACCGTATTCAGACCAGAATTTTTTATTTTCATTTTTTCTGTATTTTACTGATAAATGGACTAAATTTTTTTTTACAGTTAACATTCAGATTCGGTCTGAGGTTGAAGTTTTTCAGTTTTCAATAACTTTGCCAAACCTTCATGGAATTTTATGAAATTTGGCCAGAAGCTTGTTACTGAATGACATACAGTATCCAGAGCAAATTTTTTCTGTATTTTACTGGTTAACATGGTAAATGGGTTTAGTGTTTTTTAACAGTAAACAAATAGATACTGTACATGTCTGGTGTTGAAGTTTGTTACACATTTATTACTTTGTGAAACCTTCATAGAATTTTATGAAACCTAATTTGGCAAAAGCTTTTTTTAGAGATAATGGCAGCAATTGGCTGAAACATAAATGTAGCATCTATTTGTAGATCTTGTCTTGCTGATCATTTTAACAACTTAAAGTTTCTCTCTTTCCATTATATTTTTCAAGTTAATAGGCAAAAATGAAAAAAATGGAAAACATTTTCATTTAAGGGCAATAACTCCTATAACATGTATAAGACGTCGCCTGACAGTTTTGACTTAAATGGACAATTGGTGGATCTCAACATTCTGAACATTTCTGCCCTTGTCAGATTTTCTATTTATAACAGTTTTCAAAACAATAGACAAAACTTACATTTTACCCCTACATTTGTATGTTCTATTTTTAGCAATGTCAGCCATCTTGGTTAGCAGGCGGGTTATCTGACACATTTTTTAATCTAGATACCCCAATGATGATTGTTGTCAAGTTTGGTTAAATTTGGTCCAGTAGATTCAGAGGAGAAGATTTTTGTAAAAGATAATGGACAACCATCTTTGCTAGCCAAGGGTTAGGATCCAGTCCGCTCCTGTCCACCCTTAGCGGGTTAAGATAGAATTTCGGGTGGATGAGGTAATGATTTCCATTGGTCACAGTTATAAGTTGCTGCATTCAATCAAAAAGCGCCTTTAAAATGATCATGTGTAAATGTAGAAAATGTCAATAAACAATTGCCACATGCCACATGCTTTTTGTGCAACAAATGACAATTTTAAAGTTCTTAATCAACTAATTTAAGTTCCTTGATATCTTTCTAGTTGAAATGTTGAAAAACCAACATATATCATGTATATTTTGGTCCCTGCTTCATGAAATTTGTAAAAACTACCCAGACACAACCATTTTAACACCTTCACACTGAAGAAAGTTCAAGTGCTGCCATTGGTCATGAATGATATAGTCGGAATGGGCATGACTTTTATCTACTGTTAGATGACGCAGCATTGTAATCACAAAATAATGTTGGCTTAATTTGCCCAGAGTGGAGAGGAGGGGACTGGATCGTAACACTTGGCTAGCAAAGATTCTTACAGCGATGACGGACAACTACAAAGGACGCTAAGTGATGAGAAAAGCTCACTTGGCCATTCTTAAAAGGACTTCATTTCAAGTTTCTTTATCCATTGGTCCCAGGTTTACTGAAAAACTACAATGATTGATATTTTTTTTTATTTGGTAATTTCCTCTGTTTAAAAAATAGAATTATTAAAATGAAAAGTTAAAAGAAGTTATTATGCAAATTTAATGGCCTACAGACACTGATTTCTATTATGAAAATGAAGATGTGGTATGATTGCCAATGAGACAACTCTTCACAAGAGACCAAATGACACAGATATTAACAACTTTAGGTCACCGTACGGCCTTCAACAATGAGCAAAGCCCATACCACATAGTCAGCTATAAAAGGCCCCGAAATGACAAATGTAAAACAATTCAAACGAGAAAACTAACGGCCTAATTTATATACAAAATATTGAATGAAAAACAATTATGTAACACAGCAACAAACGACAACCACTGAATTGCAGACTCCTGACTTGGGAAAGGCATATATATACAGAATGTGGCGGGGTTAAACATGTTAGTGGGCTTCCAACCCTCACCTAATCCTGGGTCAGCGGCACAATAGAACAACACAAGAACTGCACAAAATAACAAACAAACAACGCACATGATCAACAGCAAAAAACAACAACCACTCAATTACAGGCTCCTGACTTAGGACAGGCACATATAGAATGTGGCGGGGTTGAACATGTTAGCAGGCGCCCTAACCTGAGATAGTGGTGTAACGGTACAACATAAGAACAAACTATAAAAATCAGTTGAAAAAGGCTTAACTCATCAGATGGATACAAATAGAAATACATCTAACAAAAACAAAGAGTGGACGTGGCTAGGTAATTGTACATCCCAACAACAAAAAGACACTTAAGTACAGATCTGAGAGTACTTGCAGTTAATGACTTGTTCAAAGCCAATAACAACTAATAAAAAAATGATGCATCTATGACTTAATTATCAATCAGTACACATCCAACATCCAATGGATTTAGTTTAAAGACGTCATAAACAGTAAGAGAAAAACATGACCTTGTGGCTAGTGCAAGCTATTCTATCCACTGAAAAATTGCAGATCTTTCCTAAAATCTGCAGTAATGTAACTAACAAATAAGCAATAGTGCTATAGCAAGTTGTTCTTGTCCACTATTACTGAAATGGTAAAGTAATATATGATTGAAATTATACACACAATTTCGCCAATCTTTCCATCAGTGATTTCAGATCACTTTGATTAAGAATAAATTGTCCCATTTTAATGTTGCATTCATGGTTGTAGGGATACTTTGCTATAGAATAAGACGCATTAACAATTTGTCATTATTTTTTAGGTTTCGAGTTCATGGGGAACTCTTTGTCCAGCAGTTGATAAATATGAGTATGATTAAGACAACCCAGAACTTGACAGAAGCAATGTATCAGAGTTTGTTTCAAGAATTTGCTGCACAGTTTGGATTAATGAGTTTGTAAGTGCATATTAATACAGCTTAAAAGAAATGGATTTAGGTGTAATCTTGTATCTTACATTGTATCTGGTTTGAAAGGCCATATGAGCTAATGCTGTCACCTGGCAGCCATTGTTGTAGTCATGGTAGTCAAATCCTCTTTGGTCTGTAAACATTTAACATATTCATCTTCCCTGAAACCACTTAGCAGGAATTATACAAAATGTATGTGGAATGCTATCTCATGTGTCTCACATGATTATTATGTTGTTTCTAATCAGACAGAAATAAATGGGACGCCAGAGGCAATCTTTTTAATGAATGTAAGCTAGGATTGAATGAATAAGATCACAGAACAGCCTTAGTTCAATATTGGCTTTCCAGATGTGTTCGTTTTTACTTGACTTAAACGGTAAACATTTTGAGGAAAACATTTATAAATAATATGAAAAACTCTTTAACTTTGTGAATATTTTTGTATGGAGAAATGTGCATTTCAATATGACCAATCATTTCTTGTTTTGTTGTGCAATTCTAATTACATGAATTACTATCCAGTGGCGTTGTTGTTATGTAAACTATTGGTATAAAAATTAAAGCTTTATATTTCAGAAGGTAGAAGACCTGGATGCTTCATACCATGTATGGATATACCTTATGTTGTGAAGTTTCCTTCTGTCATATATTTATTGTCCTTGACCTCATTTTCATGGTTCAGTGATTACTTGGAAAAAAAATTATATTTTTATTGTCATGTGAATTTCTCACTTATTATGAGTAATACGATAACTATATTTGGTAAATATGGGCTCCTTGCAACAATTACATGTCAGTCAGACAGAGTTCACACGACCTTGACCTCATTCCATGGATCAGTACTCAAGGTTGAAGTTATGTGATTAGGTCCATTTTTCAGATACTAAAAACAGTAGATCAACCATATGTGGTGTGTGGAATGATTGTAAGGAGTACATGTCAGTCTGGCAGGATTATCTTACCTTGACCTCATTGTCGTGATACATTGGTCAATGTAAAGTTTTTGTGTTTTGATTTGTTTTTTCAAGTACTATCAGCAGTAGGTCAACTATATTTGGTATATGGAATCATTATAAGGTGTTAATGTCTGTCTGGCAGGTAAAATCTGACCTTGACCTCACTTTTATGGTTCATTGGTCAACAGTGGGTTGTGTGTTCAGGGTTTTTTCTGTGTATTTTGGGAAAAAGGACCCTGGCCAGTTTTGGGATTTTTTTCACGGGCTTTTCAGTGAAACTGGGAAAACAGCAAATATACCAGATGTGAGTTTTAGTGTGTTTAGTTCATTAAAAGTTTATCTTTTATTGTGAAAATAAAGTAAGAAACTTCCAGATTTTTACTGGCCCTTCAAAATTGAGAAGAAATTACCTCTTGGAATTGAAGTAATATGTTTACACTAGCTATAAAAACATCTACATGTAATATCAACATTTATTAATGATAAAGAAAATTACTGTCACATTTTATAGGATTTTGACATGAAAATTTGTGAACTTAAAGTATTTTTGAATTTCTGTATAAAATATTTCCTGCTTTATCTTTCTTTTCCATATATCTTTTAGTTTTCAATTCTAGAGTTTATATTTCATCATCATAGATGTATTTTGTCACCTGCCTGGAACTATTATTTTTTTATTGTATTTGATCGGCAAACCCGAAATTACCCTTATCCACCCCCGGAATCTGATCCGGGTATTGTAATTGTCTCCATTTCCTGTTTATGGCATCCATTGTTTTTATACGACCGCAAAAAAATTTTGTGGTCGTATATTGGTATGACGTTGGGGTCGTCGTCGTCGTCGTCCGGCGTCGTCGTCCGAAGACACATTGGTTTTCGCACTCTAACTTTAGTTTAAGTGAATGGATCTTTTTGAAATTTTACCACAAGGTTCAATCTTCATATCTCTGAAATTATACTACAAGTTTCCATACCACAAAGGGATGGTTAGGATTTGCTTTGGGGGGTTATGGCTCAAACCGTTTAGGAATTAGGGGCAAAAAAGGGGGAAAAACAAGGTTGTCCTGGTTAATGGACAAATACTTTAGTACAAAACATAATTTAAAGCAGTGTAAGGGAGATAAATCAAATACATCATTGAAATTATCTCCCTTACACTGCTTTTAAATTATGTATAAAGTAATGGTTAATGAACAATAAAGATAATTTAAAACAGTGTAAGGGAAGTAATCCAAATACAACGTTTTGGTTACTTCCCTTACACTGTTTTTAAATTATGTTTAAAGAAATGCATATTTCTAAAGGAAGACCAGTAAAAATATCTGCAAATGTTGCATCTTTTTTTTTTACAAAAAAATCCATATGAAAGATTTGACACTATATTTTTAATTCTATTATAAAATAGATTAAGTTAGCACTATGGTAAATTTAAATGGGTAATTATGGTTGCCAGCTCCATTGGAAATTTGAATTGAGATTATGAACATATCTTGAGGGAAAGAATTTTTTTGGGGGAAAAAAGGGGGGGGGGGGGGGATAAAAAGAAATTGTGGGGGGTCAATTTTTTCTCATTTCAGATTTCAAAATTTAAAAAGAATTATTCTTCAAATATTTTTTTTTTTTTTCAAATTTCAAATAATGAAAAATTTCAAGAAGTAATCTTTAATTGCACAGTATGGCGCATTAGATTTGTAAACACATTTATTTATTTGTTATGCTGAATCTAACAGTGTATTTAGATTTTAAATTTTGGGTCCAGTTTTCAAATTGGTCTACATTAAGGTCCAAAGGGTCCAAAATTAAACTTTGTTTGATTTTAGCAAAAATTGAATATATGAGGTTCTTTGATATGCTGAATCTAAACATGTATTTAGATTTTTGATTTGTGGCCCAGTTTTCAAGTTGGTCCAAATTGGGGTCCAAAATTAAACTTTGTTTGATTTCAACAAAAATTGAATATATGGGGTTCTTTGATATGCTGAATCTAACCATGTATTTAGATTTTTTATTTGTGGACCCCGTTATCAAATTGGTTCATATTGAGGTCAAAAGGGTCCAAAATTAAACTTTGTTTGATTTAATCTAAAATTGAATTATTGGGGTTCTTTGATATTCCAAATCTAACCGTGTATTTAGATTTTTAATCTTGGGTCCTGTTTTTTAAATTGGTCTACATTAAGGTCCAAAGGGTCCAAAATTAAACTTAGTTTGATTTTAGCAAAAATTGAATTCTTGGGGTTCTTTGATATGCTGAATCTAAACATGTGTTTAGATTTTTGATTTTGGGCCCAGTTTTCAAGTTGGTCTAAGATAGGGACCAGTATTAAAACTTTGTTTGATTTAAACAAAAATTGAATATATGGGGTTCTTTGATATGCTGAATCTAAACATGTATTTAGATTTTTGATTATGGGCCCAGTTTTCAAGTTGGTCCAAATTGGGGTCCAAAATTAAACTTTGTTTGATTTCAACAAAAATTGAATATATGAGGTTCTTTGATATGCTGAATCTAACCATGTATTTAGATTTTTTATTTGTGGGCCCCGCTATCAAATTGGTTCATATTGATGTAAAAAAAAGTCCAAAATTAAACTTTGTTTGATTTCATCAAAAATTGAATTATTGGGGTTCTTTGATATGCCAAATCTAACCGTGTTTTTAGAATTTTAATTTGGGTCCCGTTTTTTAAATTGGTCTTCATTGAGGTCCAAAGGGTCCAAAATTAAACTTAGTTTGATTTTAACAAAAATTGAATTCTTGGGGTTCTTTGATATGCTGAATTTAAACATGTGTTTAGATTTTTGATTATGGGCCCAGTTTTCAAGTTGGTCTAAGTTGGGGTCCAAAATTAAACTTTTTTTTGATTTCAACAAAAATTGAATATATGGGGTTCTTTGATATGCTGAATCTAACCATGAATTTAGATTTTTTATTTGTGGGCCCCGCTATCAAATTGGTTCATATTGAGGTCTAAAGGGTCCAAAATTAAACTTTGTTTGATATCATCAAAAATTGAATTATTGGGGTTCTTTGATATTCCAAATCTAACCGTGTATTTAGATTTTGAATTTTAAGTCCCGTTTTTTAAATTGGTCTACATTAAGGTCCAAAGGGTCCAAAATTAAACTTAGTTTGATTTTAGCAAAAATTGAATTCTTGGGGTTCTTTGATATGCTGAATCTAAACATGTGTTTAGATTTTTATACGCCCGTTTACGGGACGTATTATGGTATACCGTTGTCCGTCTGTCCGTCTGTCCGTCCATCGTCAACATGTCGGACATTAACTCAAAAATGCTTTTACCAATTTGCATAAAACTTTGGTGAATTGTTTATATCTATTGACGTGAGCTCCCTTTCGTTTTTTATAAATTTTAGATTTTACGTTTCCGAGTTATGGGGTTTTATTCATTAAAAAAAGGGGGATTTTCCAGTTTTCGGACAATAACTCAAGAATGCTTTCACCAACTTGCAAGAAATTGTGGTGAATTGTTTATATCTATTGACATAAGCTCCCTTTCGGTTTTTATAAATTTTAGATTTGACGTTTCCGAGTTACAGGGTTTTATTCATAAAAAAAGGTGGACTTTCCAGTTTTCAGACAAAAACTCAAAAATGCTTTCAGCAGTTCTTATGAAACTTTGGTGAATTGTTTATATCTATTGATGTAAATTCCTTTTAGAATTTTATAATTTTTACTTTTACATTTCTGAGTTATTGAGTTTTATTCATTAAAAAGGGGGGGATTTTCCAGTTTTTCGGTCAATAACTCAAAAATGCTGTCAGCAATTCTCATGAAACTTTGGTGAATTGTTTATATCTATTGATGTAAGCTCCTTTTTGATTTTCATAAATTTCTAATATGACATTGAGAATTAATTGAACTTTATTTGTTTATAGTCTGACAACAGATTTACTAAGTATTGTGCAACAGCACAGTGTATTGCACAACAGCAAGAAATCTTTAATTGAATATAAATTCAATTCATATAACCAATTTCAAGTTCTTTGACTACAATTATTCAGAAACCTATAATATGTCAAATATTTAATTACAATCCAAATTCAGACCTGTATCAAGCTTGAATATTGTGTCAATTTTTGCCCCAACTGTTCAGGGTTGGACCTCTGCGGGTGTATCCAGCTGCGCTCAGCGAAGCAGTTTATTGATTATGGGCCCAGTTTTCAAGTTTGTCCAAGTTGGGGTCCAAAATTAAACTTTGTTTGATTTTAACAAAAATTGAATATATGGGGTTCTTTGATATGCTGAATCTAACCATGTATTTTGATTTTGGACATTGGACCATAATAGGTAAATTAAAAAAATTCAAGTTCTTAGACCACATTCTTTCTGTGTCAGAAACCTATGCTGTGTCAAATATTTAATAACAATCCAAATTCAGAGCTGTATCAAGCTTGAATGTTGTGTCCATACTTGCCCCAACTGTTCAGGGTTCGACCTCTGCGGTCGTATCAAGCTGCGCCCCAGCGAAGCATTTTATTCAGTGTTGTATTTGTCAGTCAGATACCATTTTACTCGGATTTACTCATTACTTGTTGGCAATTTTTGGCATAAAGCTAGCGGTTGAACAAAATGAACATCGCTATCATGAATAATAAAGATGAAAATAAATTTTGCGATCGTTTGGGAATTTTACTCCCAAAATTGGGAAAAATGTAGGATAATTGCCATTGGGAATGGGTCGAATACCGGACCCTGTGGAATGCTAGAAAAATCCATGGTGTTTTGGTCTGTTTTTCAATTACCATAAGCAATAGCTATAGGTCAACTATATTTGGTGTATGAAATAATTGTTAGGTGTACATGTCTGTCTGACAGGACTTATCTAACATTGACCTCATGTGATACAACCTTTATCTTTAAGAATTTTAACATAAAATCAGTGGTCAGTAAAGCAGGCGAGTCATTTCAGGGTGTGTACTCTTGTCTTTAGTATTATCAGTTTTATTGCCGGTAACATTCAAATCCCATCAAGGACTGCAAAAGGGAAGTAAAAAAACAATCTGTGCAAACCTAAAATATAAGGTATAAACATGGGCAAATGTTCCTTATAATTAATTTTGTTGAGTTATTTCAATAATATTTATAAAATTGAACCAATTAACAGCCCATTTCATTCAAGAAGTGAGGAAGTAGAAAGAAAAATGCAGAAATTCCTTCCTTGTGCTATATGACAGCAGTGGTGCATGATCATATCCCACAGAGTCAGACCTCAAACAAAATGATAAGGATCAGTTAAGCAGTGTGATACTGGTACATGCATTCCGAAATACTACGTTTTATTTGCTGCTGTAAAATTTTGAGGTGTTGATGAATAAGGAATATGAAAAAAAATGTACCATAGAGTTTTTTATTTCACCAGATTAGAAACTGCTTACTGATGACTTTGGAAGATACTAACTCCTTAAAATGGATTGTCAGAAAAACACCAATGCATGTTCATGTACCTGTAAATCTGTGACCTAGCTCTGCATGAAAAAGAAATAAAAAAAAAAAAAAAAAATTTTATTTATAAATTGAAGGAACTGCATTATGTGAGTAGGGACACATTTCAAAGATCAAATCTCGATTTTAAATATTTTAAGATTTTGAAAGAATCCTGATACACATGTAATATCTGAATTTTTATACCATCTTTTTGATGTGTAAAGAAATTTTAATATTTTATAGGAGTGTTCCTGTTATTGGTAAAGCACAGGTTGATATAGGAGATAAAGCTGTTTCATCTATACCTGATATTGTCTTTCCAGATATTACCAATTCAGACATACATCATTCTAATTTAAAGATATTAGCAGTTTGTGAGGTATATGTTAACTATAGAACTGCAATGGAACTCATTGCAATATGCTTAAAAATGGTTGAATTTGCTGTTTCCCTCAAACACAGATCAAGATCAAATTAGGGTGCCGTCACTTTACTGTTCTCAAGTTCTCCCTTAAGCTTTAAAAACGGGTAAATTGCTGAATTTGCTGTTTCCTCCCTCCAACTTTAATTTGCCTGAACAAATGTTTTCAAAGTTACACACAATGCCATCAAACACAGATCAAGTTTGAATTTGGGTAGCGTCTCTTTCACCTTTCTTGAGTTATGTCCTTTTATGAATGGAAGAAAATGCTAAATTTGCCGTTAGTTTACAATTGGGGGCAACTGTTAACCATGGACACATTCTTCTTTTATTTCTTGAATGATTTACGTAGGGTTATTTTTCCCCTTGCGCCTTTTATTAAAAGAACTGCATTTTTCCTTACCTTAGTGCATAGTATTTATATTTGTGTGATCTGAAAACGATTGTAGCACATAAACTTACATAACGTTACATGAAATATATGTAACTATTCATTTGGGAACTCACACCCGCACTAGGAATGGGGACTATCTTGCACTTACTTTGTCCTTCCTGTCACTCATTCATCAAAAATAAATATTATTGTTAGAAATGTCTCATGAACTGCTGAGCAGAATGACTTCAAATTTGGTCAGCAGCTTGAAAGTGACTAATTGTTATATGTGAGCACATTTGGATCTCTCAAAAACCTTCTTTCTGTTTCCACTACTTTACATTGCGAGTATGCTTAGCATAATGACCCATTCAACTATTTGTAAGAGTAGTTTAATGAATTGATATAGTAATATGACAGTTCTTAACCAAAACATGACTAAAGTTTGAAATTTGAAATTGTCCTCACCAGAGAACATAAATTTAAATCCATGTAATAAATATTTATTGCACCGCGGGTAAATTATGACATTGTGATTGGTTTGACGCCGTCACGTGGTGACCCCCTATGGATATGGGGTTAGACACAAACCAGCTTGTTGTAAATACAGCGGGAACGTAACATATTTCATGTATTATAGTGTAAAGTCTTTGTGACGCTACACTTGTTTACTTGGGCATTCTAGATTGATTACAATTTATAACATGTAGAACATTTTCTTCAAGTATTCTCTTCACAACTAGCCCATGCTTGAAGAACCTCTTCAACAGGCCATTATAATCTATGCAAATTTTTTGAAAAAGCAGCATCTGGTCTGTAGCTACAAAATATATCATGAAGACTGAATATTGAAATTTTTCTTGCTGTATGCTTCATGTGTAAGAGGTAAGGGATCACAGCTGAGGAACACAATCTTAAAACAACCTTTTTATTTGATTGTTTTTCTAGGTTAAGAAAGAATTTAAAGCAAAGGAAGACTTGGTTATTTCCTTACAGTATAGTACAAGGTCAGGGAAAAAGAAAGTAATAGGTAAAGAGCAAGTTATATGGCACCTTGATGATAGATTACAGGGTCAGCATGGAGGAGAGCTATTATTGCATTACCCTTTATCACAGAAGAATGGTCTATTAGGTATCATTGTACAGAAGACACATGTAAGCATTGATCTTTTATTAGTCCCCTACCGACGAAGTCGAAGGGGACTTTAGGTGTGCACTCCGTCCGTCTGTCTGTCTTTCTGTCTGCTTGTCTGTCTGTCAATCCGTCAGTCCAGCAAATCAGTGTTCCACACCTTTTTATACGACCGCAAAAGATTTGTCAAATATTTAATTACAATCCAAATTCAGACCTGTATTAAGAGCGAATATTGTGTCAATTTTTGCCCCAACTGTTCAGGGTTGGACCTCTGCGGTCGTATCCAGCTGCGCTCGGCAAAGCAATTTATTTCTTCATGCTTGAAGATATTGATTTAATATTTGGTGTATTGTTTAATCATGACAAGTAACAGATCAATTTGGAATTTTGTTCCGGTCTGATGATTTTGTGCAGAGTTATGGTCCTTTGACTCAGAAAATTCACTAAAATAATCAGTTTTTCACACTTTTTTTTGTCATTCTTGAAGATATTGATTTGATAACTGGTATGTAGTTTTATCATGACAAGTTACAGTTCAAGTTTGAATTTTGTTCCCGTCTGATGATTTTGTGCAGAGTTATGGTCCTTGGACTTAGAAAATTCACTCAAATAATCAGTTTTCCGCACTTTTTTCCGGCATGCTTGAAGATATTGACTTGATATTTGACGAATTGTTTTATCAAAACAAGTAACAGATCAAGTTTGAATTTTGTTCCGGTCTGATGATTTTGTGCAGAGTTTTGGTCCTTGGACTTAGAAAATTCACTTAAATAATCAGTTTTCAACACTTTTTTTCATCCTGCTTGAAGATATTGACTTGATATTTGTTATATAGTTTACACCATGACAAGTTATAGATCAAGTTAGAATTTTATTCCAATGCAATGAATTTGTAACCGGTAGGGGACTATGTATTGCTATGCAATACTCACAGAATGCTTGTTTATTATCTAATGACAAAGCTTGATTGATTGATTGTTGATTGCTTTACATCCAGTGCCAAATATTTCATGCATGTTGAGGACAAGACAAATTTACAATTAATACAATCAGTAGGTCCTGTAATAGGGGGTTGACCAGAATGAATTTGGGTGAGGGATTTTAAGTGCCTCTGGAAATCTAGGGTAAATTGGATAGGGACAGAAATTTTGCCTTGCAACAGGCCACCTGTAGACCCCCAAAAAGTTGTAGCAAGGGTTCTTAAAACGCAAAGAGAGCAGAAACATCTTTGCATGAGTCATCAGATTTAATGTCCCCATTTTGACTAAACATGACTAAATTTCCATGAATTTATACATCCTGCACAGTTCAATTTTAGTCTGAATTGACCACAGCTAATACCATACCCTTGTATTGCTTCATTGAACAGACAATTTCTTACACAATTCATTACACAACTGTACATGCAATTCTTGACCTGAATAGCATGTTAGTTGTTTGCCATTTTGTACATGTACAGAATAGCAACACTTAAGAAAACTGCATCTTTTATTGGTCGACATGTTTCACCAATTAGATCGGCGTCTTCAGGACAAAGTATAAAAAATTAGAACCCCTGAAGTACAAAGAAATGGTATCTAGTATGTGATGTCATAATTGTCTATTGTTGACGTTGCTATAGGATACTATATGTAATTATGTAATGTTGAACAGAAAATGAATCAAAAATAGTACAATGCAAATTAAGTTACTAAATTCAGAGTTAATCTATTATTGTTGTAATCTTCTTTATCTTAAAAAAAATGTTGTAAACTGTTCTGATAGTAAGTGGCCAGAGGTACTACTTCCAATCATGTCTGGAATGCCGTTAAGTAGTTCACCGTTGCAAAATTTCTTGCAATGTAGGTTTAACTGTAAAATCATGTTGGGATGGATTTATGTTGTTTGCATCTTAATTCTTTAAAGTTCAATTTCGGTAGGTTCTAAATACTCCTGGAAATCTATCTTGGCTTTTTTGTGTCAACTCCATTTGCTCCTGAAAGATCCTTTGTATGGTTTCACACGTAAACAATTTTACATTCAATTTTCTGATGGCACGGAACGATGGTACATATACATCTTGATTTATTTGCAGCCCTGTTGTAAGTATGTTATCTCATAAAACATGTTTAACCCCACCGCATTTTTGTGCCTGTCCCAAGTCAGGATCCTCTGGCCTTTGTTAGTCTTGTATGATTTTTAATTTTAGTTCAATTATATGTTTTTGAGTTTAGTATGACGTCCATTTTCACTGAACTAGTACACATTTTTGTTAAGGGGCCAGCTGAAGCCCTTCTCTTGGTGCGGGATTTTCTCGCTGAGTTGAAAACCCATTGGTGGCCTTTGGCTGTTTTTTGCTATTTGCTCGGGTTGTTGTCTCTTTGACACATTCCCCATTTCCATTCTCAATTTTATATATCGAAAAATGCATGGTATAATTGGTTTTCATGGTGTAGTAAAATAGTACTATGAAGTTAAAAGGTAACCATATTTAATATATGTGCAAGGTGACCAGAGGTAACCAAAATCAGTATTGACGTAAGGTGACCAGATGTTACCATCGTCAATATCTGTGTAAGATGACCAGAGGTAACCAAAGTCAATATATGTGTAAGATGACAAAAAGTAACCAATGTCATTGGTTGCCTTTGGCTGTTTTTTGCTATTTGCTCGGGTTGTTGTCTCTTTGACACATTCCCCATTTCCATTCTCAATTTTATCCTCTGTTTGTTCTTCATACAATTTTCCTTTTGTTTGGTGGTTTTTCGGCAGTAATTGATGGTATCAGTTGATTTTTGGCTTCTTGGAATTCTTCGTTCTTGCTCAGTGTAGAGATGGCCATGGGGTCGGCGCTGTGTGGTATAGGCGGATCCGGGAATGCAGGGGTTCAGAATATCGAAAATAAATAAAGAGCTGCTGAACCAATGCCTCCTATGTTTTGTGCTGGTAGAGTTCCCTTGAGTTGATACCAGATGGTATGAAGGGTTGTCAAAAATTAAATACCACTAAAATGACAACAACACTTAAGTAAACTTTTTAGACCACTTTGCGGCTGTTTAAATTTCGCGATTTTCAAATTTACTTCATGTATTAAAATAAGATAAGATCAAAGTTTTACAAGTTTTCTGACGATTTATATTTGCGTTATTTTTCTATCCGGGAAAATAGATCGCTCGCAACAATTAGTTGGTTTACAGTAATTTACCTATAATTACGTTTGATCTACACTATATGAAATCATTCTGTTTATTATGTGTCAAAGGTGAATATTTAAGGATTTATAAGACGTCTGTTTTTTCAAAGAAAAGAGGAAAAATAAAATCTGCATGAAGTCATTTATTGAAATTACAATTACCGGTATAATTTGCGTTAAACAGTTAGCAAAATGACTTAACTCTAACTAGAGCATTTTCTGCAAGAAATGTATTTGTTTATTCCCAATTATATTATTATTTAACCGTACAATTTTTTTGAACATGTATATTTAAATACAGGAAATGTATTTTTTCCAATGAGAATGACACCAATTTTTGTCTCGAAAAATGATATACCTCTATTTGAAAATTCCCCTAAAGCATCAATCAACAATTAAATTTAGGATCAAGGTTTGCATAACAAGGAGAAACTTTTTTTAGATGAATCTATTTTTATGCCAGATAGTAATCATCATTTAAATAAATTTAAATGGCACTCCAATTTCAGCTGTTAATGAGATTTGAATTCTTTGCTGGCTATAATTAACAAGATTCAGCTATTCATTTATTTAGGGATTTCCCATATTTTCCCGCTAAATAGCACACTGCTCCCAACAAATGTAAACACACAAATTTTGCATGTGAGCATGATATGTTTGCAGGATTACTGCATTTATTGATTTGATTTGGGTATAGATATTGAATTTAAGGTACAGTAAAGCATTTGCATTAACAGAATAGTTTGCATACAATATTTTTGATTTATTTAAACATGTGCTTCACTGAGCGCAGCTTGATACGACCACAGAGGTCGAACCCCGAAGAGTTGGCACAAATTTGGACACAGTATTCAAGCTTGATGCTGTCTGAATTATTGAAGATTTCTTCTTGAAACTTTTCAAAAAATTTGAAATTTGAAAAATTTTGAAAAAAAATATGATTCCCTAAAAAAAATTGAAAATAGAATCCCCTCACTTTTGAACTCCCCCCCCCCCCCCCCCCCCCACCTTTGGAGCAATTACCCCCAACCTCAATCCCAGCCTTCTCTTTAAAGTAAAATTTTAGAGAGATTCATACACTTAAACACAAGTTATTGTCTGGAAACTCTATTTTTTGGTTCTTAATACCTGCATGTTTGTGGCAATTACCTCCAAACTAAATCCCATCATTCACTTTGTGATACTGTATATTCAGAAATTATTGTGATGTTTTTATTATTGCGAAAAATGAGACAGAGTTATACATTGTAATCGCAATAGTTTAAACTGGCATTTTGAAATTACAGGATTTTTCTCAACATCGCAAAAATTAAAATCACAATTTAGTCTTAAATGACAAAATCGCAATAATTTCTGAACTTACAGAATAATGGAACCTTGTGGTACAATGTCAGAGAGATCCGTTCACTTACACAGTCACACTAGTTATTGTCTGAAAACTACAACTAGAGGCTCTTGATAGAGGCTCTCAAGAGCCTGTGTCGCTCACCTGTATCTACTGTGGTTTTGGAAATCATGTAAATAAGGTTAAATCATAATAAATAGTATTAAATACCCCAATAATGATTGAGACCAAGTTTGGTTTAATTTGGCCCAGTAGTTAAATCAAAAGCAGGTCATCCAAGTTTAGTCTTACAATAGTTACTGAAGACCCCTTATCATTATTTAAATTAGTGTTCAAGTTGTGACCATTTGAAATTGTTTTTTAAAGGAAAAGTCCAAAAACTTTTTACTATAATCATATCGGAAACCCTTAAAATATAAATCATACATTTTAATTTTAAAAGTTGCACGACTGAGTACTTTCCTTTCTGAATTATTAGTTGGTTAATAGCTACACCAAAAGTTGTCGATGCACTTTAAATTCCATTATGAGTTGATTAACGAACAATACTTAAAATGAGATTAGTCCACTCCCAGCATGCAA